ACTATGGCACAATCAACAAGTGTGACATAAGTAGCATTTTACAACAACAACGACGAGGTGATGCTGCCTGTCCTTGAACACACCAAGTAGATCCCTCCTCACCCACAGACACCATCTCACACACATCCTCATCCATAGATCATGTTATGAAAATAACAAACACAAAGCAAAAGGCAAGCACAATCATTAAATTGCACACATTCTATTGTTCTTAGTCTTGGTTGAAATACATTCTATTTTAATTCAGTATGTGTTTTCTGGCCAGATGTCTGACACCGTTTTCCCCTGGCCAGTGTGTCAATGTCTGATTTTAGGTCTTGTGCTGAGGCAATCTGCAAAACAGCGTGGAGGTTGTCATCGGTAATGCGTGATCTGTGCTTGGTCTTGTTTAGATTTATTATTGAAAAGATCTGTTCGCACAGATAGGTGCTCCCAAACATTGACAGAACACGAGAAGCATGAAGTCAGAGCTGTGGCATCAAACCGGGGGTAGTAGACGGTAAAAGTCCTCGATTACAGCATCCTGGAACTTTGCTCTCAGGCCACTATCACTTTGAAGCTCAATTAACTCCATCTGAAGGTGATGGGGCACACTGCAGACATCAGCGTTGAAAGGATTGGCAAAGATGTCAAAACCAGAGTGCTGTGCTTAAAAGTCAGAGAAGCGCCGATCAAACTCATTCATTAACCGGTTCAGTTTGGTAGCCAACCGAGCACATGAAAAATCACTGGGAACTGAGGCTGAGATGCTCTGACAAACAGGAAAGTTGGCAATTTTTCTTTTCTTGGACATTTTGGGATCATTTGTAGAGATCTCTCAATTCCGCTTAAAGTGGAGAGATGCCATTACTTTGCGGGTGAGGTATTGGGTCCTGCCCCGTTCCCACTACCACACGGGTAACAATCTAAATGCATTGTCGGAGATGTAGTTTATGGTCAATGCACGCTTTAAAGCAGAATATACTTATTTTGATATATTTGCACCTATTAAGCTCTCGTGAACCACATAAAATGACGTGGCAGGCCACATTTCGCCTGCGGGCTTTGAGTTTGACACGTGCTGTAGACCCTCTTCAGTTTGTCTACCGCCCTGACAGATGACGCAACGGCTCTGGCTTTATTCCATACCTTGAAACACCTGGACAACAGCAGTACGTACGCCAGGATTCTCTTTCTGGATTACAATTCTACAGTCAACACCATTCGCCCGGGTAGGCTGATTGGGAAGATGACAGACCTCAGTGTACCATCTCCCACCTGTAACTGGATTCTGGACTTCTTGACTGAAAAGCCACAGGTAGTTAGAATGGGAGGGTGGGTGTCTGCTGAGCTCACAAACAGTACAGACTCACTGCAGGGCTGCTGTCTCAGCCCCAAACTCTTCACCCTGTACACCCATGACTGTGTCTCCAACCATGACAACACCATCATCATTAAATATGCTGATGACACCACCATTCTGGGCCTCATCAAGGGGGGGAGACGAGTCGGGTTACAGAAGCTTGGTGAATGACATTCTTCTTTATGGAGAGGAGAATGACCTCATCCTCAACATAAACAAGACAAAAGAAATAACAGTAGACTCGCAGGTGACATCTGACCTGAGCAGGTCACTGAACACAGCTGCCACAGTGAAGGAAGCCCAGCAGTGGCTATACTTCATCATGGCTTTCTGTGTTTGAAAAGCTGGGTTGAACCTCTCTCCCAGGCTTATAGAGGACTGGTAGAGAGCATCCTCACTACTGGCATCACAGTCTGGTATGGTAACACCACACAGGCAGAGAGGAAGGCTCTTCAAAGGGTCGTAAAGACTGCAGAGAGGATAACTGGGACTGAACTGCCTGCTATGGACACACTGTACACACAGTGCTGTCGTAAAAGGGTGGAGAACATACTGAGGGATCCATGCCACCCAGCTCACTCTCTGCTCAGACACAAAAACTGCTCCTATAGCCTCAGGCACAGCAGGGCGGACAGTATAATCACACACAGAACTAGACTTTACAACAGCTTTTTCCCTGCTGCAGTAAGACTGATGGCAAATATGAAAATGTGAGAAATGTGAGCATATATGTGCAATAACCCCTTACTAGACATGCGCAATAATAATACAGAAATGTTCCACAAGGTATTTTTGTAAGCGCATCTCATCAACAGTGTTCTCTTGTGGGACCTGAGTAATAGCAGGACATTCTCTACCAAGCAATAGAAACCAGCTGAATATAAACTGTGTTTTAGTATGTTATAACCCTTCACTACCTCACTAAGCGTAATGACATATCCAACTCCACCATGTGAATTACTAAGTGCAATGTTTGAAGTTCACTGGGGAAAATACTATTACCTTATTTTTGTGTATTGCGGTTTTAATGCTTTTTCGCCTTTAAGTAACTTTTTTTATTTTAAGACTAAGTGTTCTTTCTGGGTTTTGACTCCTTACCTGACTCCAAAGGAGAGCTGCACAAGAATTCCTATATACCTAGACTGTCTGTTTATGCATAAATGACAAATAAAAATCTTGACTTGACTAGTTGATTTTTTCTGTAAATTATAAGATATAGTCAAATTCAGCACTGACAAAAAGCAGGAACTGATTTACACATTTAGTGTACAGCTACTTTAGTAAAGATGGATATACTGTTGGGCTCTCCTTCCCTGCAGAGAAAGTTTACAGGCCAGGGTGCAGTGTATGGACCTTGTGATGCTCTGCCAGAGGATGAGCCACGTGTGCAGTGCAGGCCAGGGAGGCGGGTGCCAGGGCCAGAAGCTGAACCCCAACACACCGGAAGCCCTTCCCCATGAATACTGATGAGGTTGGCCTCGCGAGAGTCCCTGTGACAGGGGAAGCTCTCTCAAGCCACCAGCTGCAAAATACTAGCCAGAATCTCTTTCAGGGCCTGGACAGGACCCCAGATCTGAAAACCGCAGCATTATGAGACTGCCCACTGAAAGGCCTTCCGTTCTATCCTCCCTGTCCCCTCCTCTTACCCAGGATGAAATGAAATAGAAAACACATTATCTGCTGCTCCGGAGCAATCAGACCTCTATATCATACAGTACATGCTACTACATAAAGGAAAATAAATCAAGCATCTCAGCATGCCTTTGCATCAGCACAAATTACTGACACACTCCATTACATGTGACGGTGGGGGGGGTGAGCAAAGCTAATTAAATGATTCACTTCTACAGCTTTGCTGTACATGTATGATGTGGTCCTGTGGGCAAAGAGCAGTATTTTTCTGTGTCTGTGGAGAGGTAACAGCACAGTATAGCACCTCCAACAAATGCATTTATACTTCTGCTCTTTCATAAATCCACTATGGAACTGCTAATTCAAACCACATGGGGTTTTTATCTAAATAACAACTGCACAAAACCAGCTATATCAAGTTGCTCAACTCTAGAGGCAAAGAGCACTATTTAGTTGTTTTCATTACCCCTGTTTTAGAAAAATTACCCATAAAGCATGTTCATGAATTTCCCTCAGAATTGGCACACTGGCATCCAGACAAACATTGTTAGTACTCAGTAGTTGGTCCACAGTCCCTCCATATGGTTGCCATGCATCATTTCTGCTGCACATCTGGGCCAGAGACACTCATTCATTCATTCATTCATGTTCTATACTGCTCAGTCCCACGGGGTCGGGTCAAGGGGGGGGGGCAGGGGCCAATCCCAGCCAGCAATCGGGCAAAGGCAGGGTACACCCTGGACAGGTCGCCAGTCCATCGCAGGGGCCAGAGACATTCCAGCAAAAAAAAAAAAAAAAAAAAGGGAGGGGGGCACCGTCCGAAAGGCACCTGTCTTAGTGTATAGTTAGAAATAATACAAGTGCTTAGGGGATCAAAAACCTGCTGATTCATAACTAAAATTAGGGTTGGTTGACCATATATCTGAGTAATAGTAGGTTAAAGGCCTGTGGTAATAGCATAAATAATAAGCTCATAATGTTTTATAAGAACATTCCACTGATTTTGCATTGTACTTATAAGAATAACTGATGGACAGTTTTAACAAAGTAGTAAAATCACTGCAGTAGCGCATTGTTTTTGTTCCCTGCAGTCTTCTTCCCTGTTAAAGCCTTGTGCCTAAATTACCCATGCTGCAGCTTGACTGCTAACAGTTTGGTGGCTGATTTGGAGCCTCTAGCTGCATACAGAGATGAGGAGCAGAGAGGTTTGATATGCTCACTTCTCTCTAATGCCACATAAATAGGTAGTCATCAGAACTAAGCAACATCAACTCAAATGATACTTGAGGATATTTATCGGGTTTCTCAAAGCTCCCTCTGGAGCCACAAAAGGCTTTATACATCATGGTTCACATATGTATTAGTAGTCTCCCAAATCTGTAAACAGACATTGATGTGGAAAATGAGTAGGTCCTTAGACATGATGTATGTTTAAAGAAAACTTGTTTCATGTGTAGGACCTAGAAACTCTAATTTTGTTCTATGCATACAGTAGTTATATCTAAAATCATCTAAGTTGTCTTCATAACCATGTTATGGGCTGTTTTTAATTTGTGAGGTGTTTTCAAAGTGGGTTCATAGAAACTGTCAGCTACCCTGTGCTCTATGTGTGGACTGTGTTCTTCTGTAAACTAGCAGCATGTTGAAGGAAGAATTTCAGCTGTGAGATCAGAAGCCATGCCACAGGAGATTACTCAGTCTTTCTCCCTGTCTGCTTCCTAGTTTACCAATCCCAGTGGGCCGAAGAGTCTTCTCTGCTTCATATTAGCCTGAGGTTCATGTAAGCCTCCTCTAACACAGCTCTGCCCCTGCTAACCTCCCAGCAGTAGCAGGTTGAATGGAGAGCTTAAGAGACAAGTTTGGTGATGTAAGAAAGCTTCTGTTTTGTGAGTGGGATAAAACTTTATTCTGACATGACACAAACTCTGCAGTCTATAACTATTCCCTTACACAGGAGAGATGAAGAAGACAAATGTATGTTATATCATGAAGGAAGGAAAACGATATGTGCTTCACTGTACTGTACCTTTGCATTCTCAATGCATGGACACAGGGCCCATGCAGCACTGGACTGAACATCTGTACTGGGGTTTTTCAGTAAGGACCACACCAGGCGGACTCCATCCAGACTGTCAATGAACCTGTACACAGAGAGAGATGTACTGTAATTAGTGTGAGAAGGAAGGGAAATAGGAAAAGGAAAGAGCATGCAAAAAATAAGTAAAACCAATAAAGTATTGCAATGTGATTTCATTTAACTGTTACCCTAGGCATACTGTAATTTCATATTTGTAACTTGTTTGATCATGTTTGTTTCTCAGAGGTCTGGCTGAATCAGTGTGGCTAGCAGAAGACTTAACGCAACTACAGCCAAGTAGGATGAAAGAACTGATAGATTTCAGCATTGGCTTTTCATTGCAACTTACTATCAGTCCTGTTCAGTTCCTCTCCAGGCCTAAAAACATCCCACTGTCTGCTCACTCAAATCAATCTCTGCAGAAAAGCTTGGTAGTGCTAGAGTTACAGGTTAACTCACATTCATCTGTGTATAGTGCTTCATACATGGATTTATATATAAAAAAGGTCTGGGAACCCAAAAAATATGCCACAGTGTCTGGTATAAATAACATGTATGTGTGCTTCCACCAACAAGGCTGACATTGAATGGTGACATAATTACTTAAACACCCCCTAATCACAGTATCTCTGTGACTGGCAACAAGTGAACACTAATCAGGGAACGCCATCTGCCTTTTATCTGCACATAAATCAGTCAAGAGGGTGCATAACATCAAATTCCAGTCCACAGGCCTATTAAATTCGGACCAAAAACAAAATTGAAGCATCATATCATCCGCCAAAACAGTTCTGTCTTCCCATAAAGCAGGTATGAAACGGATTAGCAATGCAGTTGCAACAAAGAGTAATGGATTACAGCAGGAGGCCACAAACCCTGGAAGCATCAAACAATATGTGTTCACTCTTGTAGTTTCACAGGATTCACTGGAAGAAGTGCTATGCCATTAACCACACGCTGCCTACTGGTTGAGAAAAACAACAACAACAACATTATTTCACTGAAAACTTGAAAGCCTATGTCTGTTTTGGACAACCTGAATCACTGTGATATTAAGAAAATGACTGCGGAGAAAACTGACAGGAATATTGTATCTAACTGCGTGGTATCATACATACACTGTCAAAACATCTTCCAGCTAGCCAAACACCATCTAATCAATGGAAACCCCAAAAACAGCTCTTATCATGTTGGACTGGAACAGAAAACAATCAAATATAAGTTATATTAATTGGTAAGCAAACTACTATACACAAACATTCCTTAAAATAAACAAAAACAGAAAAAACAGCCACAAAAATAAGAACTTTTTGTTTACATTTTATTGGGAGGGCTGAAAAATCATACATATTTAGGGTAGAAATAATTCTAGCCTAAATATGTTGTATACTATGCATGAAATATGGAGAATATAATGAACCAACGTAAAACACTACTCCTCCAGCACAAAGATGACCATGGTTTGTGGCTTTATTTTGACAAGCCTCACTTTTTATTGAACTCCTTGTTTTTTGCTTCCAAACATATGTAATAGGCATGTATTATAACATTAACAGCTAACTAACAAAGTGAACTGAGACATTAAGTTGTATTTGAGCCCAGTGCTAATTAGGAAAGGTCTTGTGTTCCATAATAGTCCTTGAAAAAACAACAGAAACAGATGGAAGTTCCACAATGTTCTGCAGTATTGAGGGTGAGGTAATGAACACAGAACAAAGATTACATTCTCTGGAGCCAGTTTAACAAAGATAGACTTTGACTGTGGTTTAGCTCTGACTAATAGTCAGACTTTAGCTTGACATCTAAAATTATCTGTTGTACAAAGCTATTTAACGCTTGGCTGTCTTAAGATCGACTAATTTCCTATGAATTTGGGCAAATTAAGACTTTTTTCTAACTAAAAAACATGGCTGACTTAACAACTGCATCAAACCACTCAGCTCTCTTCATTCCACAACCAGTGTTTGCCTTCTGAGAGAATTAACCATCACAAGGATATTTTACTGGAAAAAATAGCTAAAATTATAACAATAGGACCAATAAAACCGTTAAAAACACTTTTTCTTCCGCCTGGTGGATCAACTGTATTATCAGCAAACCACAAATTATGAGCCATATTTCCCTCCTTTTTGTCAGTTGGTGCTGCTGGTTGTTACCATGGAAAGACAGGTCTTAGTTATATGCAAGCCTGGTGGTAGAATGACTCATATTTTCATTTTGTTTTTGTGACCGCAAAGATATAGTAAAACACTGGGAATTAAACCACAGCTACATTTAACATGGCGGGTACAATAAGCAAAGCTTTTAAAGTCTGTCATTAAAGTGAGGATGAAAGGAAAACCTGCCTGTATAGTTAGAAATTTAAAAAAAAAATTCTTTAAGCATCAGCCCATGGCAGTTTCATGATACAGTGTTTGGGTCCTGACAGTTGTGTCATTCTCTTGTCAAAATATATGACATCAAAACATGGCCATGAACCTCTGTTTGGAGCTAATTCAGTTATGACAATGAGCAAGCCACTAATTATACTTTAAGAGAGACCTCACATGGGGCTGTCTGACTATTTCAGACTATACTGCAAATGCCACAGACCATGTTAGCTGGTTGGATGTATGGGAAGAGACTTACGCCATGTTATCCTTGTCTGTGGCACAGGCACCCACAGCCTTTGTTACATTCACAAGTAGTGCCTGGGTAAAAGATACAAATAAGAAATACGCACTTGAATCAATATGGAACCTGTCTTAAATATGAGATGACATTTTATGCAGCACAAGAAGATTCAACATGCCTGGTTTGTTCCAGTAAGCAGGTTAACTAGTGGCTTGATACCCCCATACTTGCGAATGGTGGCCCTGTTAGCAGGTATCTGTGCAAATTCTCCCAGGGCACCCACTACGTTGACCAGCACTTCCTCAGGCTGATCAGACAGCAGGCCAACCAATATCTCCAGGGCTTTGTACTCCTGAAGCCTTCCGAAGGTGGAGATGATGAAGACAAGCAAACATCATATTGATTAATTATTTCACATTTGATTTATTTATTTGGGATAGGTGAAGAAATAAGACAGAATCTACAGCCATCCTTGTGGCTCTCAGAAACTGTATTTTCACAGCTGTGCTTTGAGCAAAATCCTAACATCAGTATGCTAATATGCTCACAATGACAATACTAATACGGTAATCTTAAGCAGGTATGATGGTTACCATGTTTACCAACTTAGTTTAGCATATTAGCATGCTAAGATTTGCCAATTAGCAACAAGGTCCAGTCATATCTGCAGTACAGGTTCAGGCTGAACGTGAGTGAACATCATCCCTATCAGTAGTCTAAATGAAAAGTAGCAGCTACAGTGCCCTCAGTCACATAGGCACATTTACAGTTTTCCCACATGTGTCTCTTGTATGGTTTTTGCATAACTAAAGCTTTGCTGTGGCTTGGAAACTCCCCCTCCTTCTTTTTGTGTTTCTGTTGTGATTTTGCCCCTTTGCCAACTATATAGTAGTATACTATAGTAAACATTTAAAAAGGAAACAATGCGGTTGCAGAAAACCTCAACAAACCTCTGATGTATAGTTAATCTCTACAACTGTTTATTCACAGTTATGGTTGCTGGCATTATGGCTCATAAACTATGTAGATGGCCAGAGTCATTTGGTTTTGGTCAGGGTACACTGACACACAGCCTATACTTGCAAATAAAAACACTGCTAATGAACAGAGAAGCTGCCAAAGTTAACTTCAGTGACATTCACCAAAAAGAAAAACAAAGGTTTTCCTATGCCATCACTGAAGTGTCATCTGCAGTTGACTACAGTAGAATTACTTTGAAATCACAGACATAAGTTTTGATAAATGAACAGTAACTTGTCCCGTCTGTTTTTGTTAAGCCAGTCCCAACTGATGTAATTACGTGATGGCAGGAGTAACATTACACAAAGCTGTTTGAAGTGACTTCTACTGCAAATACTTGGCTCCACACAACTTTAAGTTTATTAAAGCCTGTCAGAGGACACAGGAACCACAGTGGGGCTTCTGTGCAGCAGAGTTTTGTGATTGATCATCTGCATTTTCCTTTTCTCATTCATCTGCACTTGTCACACATTCAACTAAGTGTAGAAAGCTTAAACACTGCCTTTTAAAAATAGGGTTGTAGACAGTAATTGAAAGTAAGACATTTCATGGACCCTGCGATGTTTAGCAATCCTCATGAAGAGCATTAAGCTGAAATTTAACAGACAGGCAGTATTTCATTTTTTAAAAACTGAGCAATAAATAACTTGGTTGAGCTGTACTGTAGTGAGTTATCATTACAGTATGGTCTGCTCATCATAGTGATGGAACAGGGGTAAGATGAAGAAGCAGTTAGTAACTGGAATCAAACCTAATAATCCTGACCCCAGACATTGCTACACTAGCTAATACTGTCCAACACTGGGATGGTGTGTCTTTGCATTGCAGTTTTTCCTTCACTCTTTTGTTAATACCCATTTACAGCATTTTTGTGTGTCCAAATCGCCTTGGTAAGCAGGCCTGAGTGGTCACGTATTCCTGCATTGTTATTCGCAAAATAATGTTTCAGTGTTTCCAAGAATGAGTTCTACAAAGGCATTTTCTTATAACAAATGACCTTGGTTCAAATATAGCCCTCTCTGTAGGCAAATTTTAGAAGTTAGAAAACTAAAGCTGGGGTCCTTAAACAAACATGCTTAATTTATAAATGTAATTATATTTTGGGACATCAATCATCCCTCATTTTGATGCATCATTAATCAGGAAAACGTATAACATGCTGCTACTGGTCTTGAGTGGAGTTACCCCCGAGTTGTATATTGTACAAACCACAAAAATCATCAGTCACTTAAAAAAATCATATTGTTTGCAGTGGGCCACAAGGTCTTTTTCATTTGACCATATACTTAAAATAGGAAAAACATCCACTCTCTCACTATTATTTCTGTAGCAAAATATATACAAAAATTATTTTAATTTTATTACACATTTGAGCCTATGACTGACTCTGAAATTAGCACATGCCCCTAAAACCCTGCGGCCATTAGCACTTTCCTTTTTGACAGTAATAGTTCAGTCACTTTATTTCAAGCTTCTGTCTGACCTAGACCTTTAAGCGATTCAAATAAATCTGTGAGAGTATGAAAAACAGATTCACTTATGCATTCATGTATACATTAAATACATTTGCTGTGCATCATTGGTGCCAAATGTCACCTTCATTCAAACCCAAATGCCCACATTGTCCAAAAAACAAATACAGAGTAACACACCCAAGTAAAAAAGCACAAAATGAGAACTCATTCATCACTTCCTATTACAGCCCTTTAGGGAGCTCACTAAGATACTGTATCTTTATGACAAAATTTAGAATGAAGGTAACCAAAATGAATTTGAGTGTTAGTATATTAAATGGGGGTCACATGTGATCATATTTACTTCTTTGCTGTGACTATCAGTAATTAGTAGCACAACTAATTTACATTGTAACACCGTGAAAGGTCATTAGGCATGGCACAAAGCCTGCAGTGGCAGGAAGTATTAACTTTCCATATTCCCAATCTGTACCATATTGTTTTTTAAATTAAAAAATATAAACAAGCTATTTTAAAAGCATTATTTTGTACAAAGAAAACAGACCTGTCTGTAGAGTAATAGCCTTGCAATAATCACTTAAATAAATTACTGCAAATTATTTTCTTTCATGAAAGTGATCTGTCCATTTTGCTTAAAAAATGTTGTCCTGCCTCTGTTTCTTTAAAGGAATCCTTGCTTAACTCAGTGTGGCAGCAGAAACTCAGTTCCACTTGGGAGGACTCAGGTTAGATTTTCAGTGAGGGATATCGTCCTATCAAAGTGAAAAAAGATCTGTGTAAGTCCTACTTACAGTTTTCCTCAATTGTTAACATGCACTCATCAAAGTATCACAATATCTAAACCCTTCACACAAAAGCAGAAGTTTATGTGGACCCATGTGAATCATTTTTCAACATTTTCATGCAATATGCATTCAGTGACCACATCTACCAAAATCCATGAACCCTTTCCTCATTCATACTCCACCACTTGCAAAACACTGCATGGTTGCAGTGCATTTTAAAATATTTAGAGCATCTATAGTAGAATATTTAACAAAAAAATTCATTACAAACACAACTAACTGCAATTTCATCTGAAAGCCTACACGCTTCTCTTTAGTCTCATTACCATTTGTAGGAAAAAAGGGGGCAGCTTCAGGAAGATTTGGTTTGGAAACATGGATCAGGGAGGACAGGTTGGTGGGGAAAAAGGGTTGTCTTGGACTTTTCATATCATTTCCAAAATGCATCACAAGAGAAGACATCAAATGTAATGTTGATGAGAACTGGTGGCCAAATG